TTTGTTTTCGGTGCTCTTCTTCGAATTTACGTATTGCCAGAATCTCGATGCATCATGCTTGAGCGAGGATTTCATTTTGTCCACGTATGTATTGTACAGTTCCATGTTTAATTTCTCAAATTCACGGGACGCCCAAATATACTTCCATTCAAACGACTGATGGTAGCCTGATCGTCTGTAGCGTTTCCATGCCTTATTCTTCCTATTTTTCAAAGTTATGAGAAATTTGTTTTTCCACGGACATTTTTGTATCGATTTGACGATGTACGTGGGCACAAATTTGATAATTGCATCGTCCAGAGTCTTGTGCAGCAAGTTCACTTTCTCATTGATTGTCTTTCCGTAGAATAATTCGGTGAAGTTGACATTTGCCAGGTGTGCATTCATGTCCCTATAGTTGGCTCGCTTGAAATTGAATGCTTTTGTTGTGATATTGGCTCCTGTCGTATTGTTTCCGTGCCATTCAAATGTAGCCATTATCGGTGGATGATGACCTTCTACCTTTTTCTTCAGTGCATTGGCCTTATCAACACGCTCAATTGTAATGTTGGTGAAATCATTAGTAAAGAATAAATCCAAGAGACGCCCTTTGGAATCATTACGTACATGATTTACCTGATGAACACCCATGCCCATGAGTCCCTGGATAAAAGTGGCCGTTGACTCAGGTGCAAATTTAGTTGGAATTAATATGTTGTCCCTGTCGCTATCGATTGACCATTCCACATGCGGCAAATTAAAATCACCAACAAAAATAAGTACATCCTCCGGGTCAGATGCTATTTGATGCATGGCCGCTAAGTGTGAGTCGTAGATTGATTGCGGTGAATTTGGTGGAATGTATGCACAGTAAATGTAGATAACGTGTGATTTAGTAGTGGCTTTCACACAAACATATTCCAAATCTACAGCACCGGCAATTTTGATTTCTTCACTGGCAAATCTTTCATTTTTGGTTGCAATAAGTACACCACCGCCACAGTGAAACAGTCTGTCCCTACGAAAAACAGAATATGAATCGTCAAAAAATTCAGCGTCATAAATATCATTTCTGAGCCATGTCTCAGTTAAAATTATCATATCGTAATCGTTAGAAGTTGCGGAACAGTAGAATCGAAATTATTCGGGACAAATACTGTGACAGTTTTGGTAGTAGATTTTAGTGAGAAATGCACAGTCATCCGATATGGCATGGTTTAGTGCCATTTGTTGCGATAGCCGTGATGATTTTCTGCGCAGCGTTCGTTGAAGCAGTAGCGATGGTAATTCGGCTTCACTTGCGAGCAACAGCTCTTCTGGCAATGATTTGTACGTGATTGCCGGCGTTTCCTTTGTGGATGCTGGTTTTTGGTGTGTCTCCAATTTGTTTGCTGAGCGTACGCTTTGCCAACCCCGTTTTTTGGCTTGGAGTTATCGATTGTTTTGATTTGTTTCGTAGTTGGATTCGATTTCTCGGGTTGCTTTTTGGTGCCAATCAAGTTATCTGGCTTCGTCCGGACATAAGAAGCGGATTTTTGGCTAGTTTTAGGGGCAACCTTTGACACGAATTCTTTTGCGGTAACGCCAGTTGGCCTAACACTGCTGAACAAATCAAAATACTCAGTTGGCACATCCAGTTTGAACTTCTTATGATTTTGAATCAAAATCATCTGAGTGCTTCAAACAGTTTGGTTGCGTGAAACAGTATTGTAGTGAGGAAAAATTGAATGACTGGAACACGAAAAATGTTTCCGCAGAAGCTAGGTGGGTAGAGATTTTCTGTTACTTGCAAAAACAATATGTTCCTTTTGATGAATTTTCCATTTTGATCGAATATGTGTTCTGTTTTCCTGGAACGTCAACCCCAGCAGAACGAATTTTTAGTAGAGTAAATACAATTTGGAAAAATGAAAGTTCTTCTTTTTTGATCCAAACCATAAAGTCGATTTTATTTGTTCAATATAATATGGAATTCACATGCACCGAATTTCACCGCTATTTGATAACTCCCGAAAACATTCTGAAGAAAATCTCTACCCAAGAAAAATACGATTTCAAGAAATCAAACCCAAAGCAAAGTCCTGGTGCCATGTAAGTTGATTTCGAAGATAATGAATAGTTAAGATCATCAGTTTAAGGTTCCTCTTTCCACTGTGAATTCATTTATTAATAAAATTTTGCTTTTTTTAATTTCACTTGAATTTGAGCGTTTTTTCCAATATACTGAATTTTATACTGAATTTTCAAACAAGATACTGATTTTTACGACAAAGATGGTAACGTACTACTGATTTTTTACCAAAATGAGTTGGTAGCTTTAACATATACATTGATAGAAAACCCGTAGGTTATTCAAATCGAATCTGGTGACATATCATTTTTAGGGTTTTCTGGGACGCTGAACACGAATCTGTTGTCAAAAATGAGCTAGAGTGGCTTTTTAAAAAAGTTTTAGTACAAAAACATGGTTTTTTTTTTAAAATTCGGCTATATAGCAAAAATACATGGTTCTAAGTGTATTTTCAACACCAAATTTGAACTTAGCGCCCCAAATTACCTTAAGACTGACTATGCTGATGACAAAAATCCAATAATCTCAGAACTAAAATTTTCTAGAAGTGTTCACGTATCGAAAGAAATCACAGAGCCCAGATGTCTCAAATGTGCAAGTTTGCTAACAAAGTGGCTGATCAGTTCAGAAACTCAACCAGCCGTTCAAACTTCGTCTCGTCGGTACGCGGCGAGCAGAACCAAAAATTTAATATTAAATATTGACAAATTGTTTTCTTACATCCTCACATCTGTATAGAAATAATGATATTACCTGTGATATTTACATTAATTTATTGAAAATTTAGCAACATTGACTGTGATATAGCCATCCTGAGTTGGTGATTAACTTTTGACCGGTTATTGCTTTATAATGGAAATCATTTTCTTTTTGTCAATGTATTTGAAAAACTCATTGTATATTTCTGTCTTTCGGTTTCTACTAAATTGTAAATTTTTAACTACCAACAGGGACTTGTTAGATTAGACGTAAAACTTTTCTTCAATATATCACTTCTTTGATAAATTGATTGATGACTTTTGCAGTCATTAAGGCCGCAACTACAATGTTAACGCTTCCACTGGCCTTTCATTTTGTATATTTAGGTTAGGCTTTTTCGAACCGTTCACATTTCGGCTTCCTACTCATTTCCATGTGTTGGTTAGGTTATTTTGCGACGCAGCGCCTTGTTGTCAATTCCCATACAAACGAGCCCAGAAGCGACAACTTCTGTTAGCAAGAGTAACTACAGTACAACTTACATCAAATTCAAAAGCTTGTATACGTATGTATACATGTTTAAGTTGCTCATCGAGCGATTTTCAGTTGTCCAGCTCAATTTAATTTTTTTTTTCCATTTGAGAACGTCAATAATTTTTTAATCCGATGCAGAAAAATCAACGTTCTGATTTTAAAACGTAAAGTCCGGGAAAGTCAATTTTTTTCTCGTGTTTTTGTCAATACAAGACGATGGAACTTTTTTTAGTCACTCTTGTGTTGACAAAAATACGCAAAAATACGGAAACATTTTTATTTGAAATTTTAAAATGAGAAAATTGATTTTTTGCATTGGAATGAACAGTTAAATACACTTTTTGATTAAAAAAAACATAACATGATTCTCGTGAACAGAACGTTAACAAATGAAGTGACACTTGTTCATATTTATTCAAAACAGTGAAATTCCTTCTGGGTACTCTTGTATTGACAAAAACACGAGAGGAAAAATTTGATTTTACGTTTAAAAATAAGAAGATTGATTCGGATTGATTTTTATGCAACAAATATCTACGCTATTTAGTGAAAAAAAATAGAGCTGGAGAACAGAAAATCGCTCAATAAGCAACTGACACATTTATACATATGTATACAAGCTTTTGAATTTGACGTACGTTGTACGTACTGAGTAGTAGCAAGAGTAGTGACTCTTGCTAAAAGCAGTTGGCGTTAGTGCAGAGAAGGCGCTGCGTCGTTATTTTGTGTTAAAATGTTTATAGACCAAATACTTATTCCATTCAAGAAAGACTACTACTATAATTATCACACACTAAATTGTATGTACACGAAAAGACCAGGTTTTTCACGACTCTTGGAGTCGTTTTCCTGCAAACAAAGTATTCAGCCAGTTTTTGGCGGTGTAAATAAAATAAAAAAATAAAAAAAATTGTTTATATAGGCTTTTAGCGCAGTACGCCATGGACAAACAAATCAGAGCTCAGGTGCCTCAAATGTGCAAATTTACAGATTTGCGGGCAATAACATATTATTAACTTTACTTAATAACATAATGATAACGGCCGATATGTTTGGTCCAACATAACATAATATGTTACTAAATATGTTGGATTTTTCTTAATAAATCCTATGATTCGGCGCTAATAATATATTATTAACTATGATAATAACATATTAATAACAAATTATTAAGATTCAATCTTAATAATGCTTTCTTTCGCGCATCTAGTCGGTGGGAGAAAAAGCGCAGGAATTTTTTTTTGTACACTTTACACTCGGAAATGTAGACAAAACACGGGAAATTGATCGTTTCAAGGTCGATGGTTTCTTCAATTTATTGGTTAAATTATTTGCCAATTGTTTGTTTTGTATTTTTATTTCAAACACTTGTATGGTACGAGAATCAAATGAATTTTTTTTCGTGTTAGTTTTATTGTTTTGAATTCAATCAAAGCAAATCATTTGCTTGGGAGATTTGCAAATGGGATATTTCGGGCGAAATTTTCGATAGATGGCAGCCGTTTGTCGTTTTTTCGTTGTTTTCTACGTATACGCATGTATAAAGTATATCGGACGCAAGCGCACACACAGCACACAGTAGTGTGAACTATATACAAACGGCAAAAGTCAAACACAAACTGCGCAGTTTTTTTCGGCAATCGTTTTTGGTCCGTGCGCGTGTTGGGTGTTCGCTTGGTTTGCTGTGTGCATGGTGTGAAATTTCAATAATTTGGCAATGGCTCGCGATGGTGATGAGCCGCCTTGCAGAAGGCAACGAATGGATAATGTTTGGGAAATAAGTGACAATGTCCCATCGCATGAAGATGAAGTGCTTGGATTGGAAGTAGATCAAGATGAAGGAATAGCATTAGGTAAGTGGCAATGGAGTGAAACAAAATTCAATGTGTGTTTTTTCATTCGTTTTGCGTGTTCACCTTCGACGCTTAGATACAATCATTTCATCATGGCGAAACAAATGCGAACTAACCGCACACATGTTGGCGTGTTTCAAGGAATTCCGTCGTGTGAATCCTGGCGATGAAATTCGATTGAAAGCCAAGTGTAAACTATGCGATGACAATTCACCGTATAAGTTTTTTCACAAGGGCAATAATTCGAATTTGAAGTCTCATTTGAGCAAGGTAGGTTTCCGTGTCGATGGAATAATATTGCCCGGCAATATTGACAAAAGTTTTTTTGTGTTTCGATTGATTTTATTTTTTCATTAGGTGCATCCGTCACATTTCAAACGAATTGTAGCTGTGTCCGAGGAGGAAAAGAATGAGAAAGTGTTTGAACGCAATGACAAGTCCAACCCATTGTCATGCTCACTCATTGAGTGTGCAATTTTAAACTTCCTCATTAAGGAAAGACTCCCAATCTCAAAATCAAATAGCATCCACTTGACCAAACTTATTGACGGTATGAATTCTCAATTATTTCACTGTGACATTTTTTTCTGTGAATTGAATCGAATTTTACACAACAATCGTTCTATTGCTTTTCTTCTCTCCATTGCATAGTTTGTGTGGGTCGACAACGAAAGTCGGCGAAGTTCAAGTCGAAGCCACTTCTGACCGCCAGAAGAGGGCGAGACAAAATCACAAAATCCTTTTGTGAATTTGTGAACCGATCAATCCGATACATTAATTTTCATTTCGATGGTGTGCATTTCGTTTGTTCTGTTTTCAATTTACAGGCACTTGCCAACAAGCATCGCGCTGATCTGATCGAAACATTCAAATCGGTTGACTATTTTAGCGCAACGTCGGACATGTGGACTCGCTCTAATCGTTCCTTTATTGCGTTAGTGTTCACTATTATGATCCCGTGAAGCTCGAATTGAAAACAGCATTCATTGCGTGCGAAAGTTTCGAGGGAAATCACACGAACGACCGAGTAGCCCAAAAGTTACATCCAATATTCGAACTTTTCGGGATTTTGGAAAAAGTTTTCTTTATTACGACGGATGGCGCTGGTGAATATGCCGCGGCCTTACGAAATTATGGCGACAATTACCGTTCATTTCTAGTATTAGCCGAAGACCAAGATGTGGTCTGACGGTGTTGATACGGCAAGTGTAATCACAAGTGCTTCGATTGTTAGTACTTCTAGTGCTGCCACTGGTAGTGGTGCTTCTTCGGCCAGAAATACGGACGCACACGAAACATCTGGCACACGCACAGCAGCAGCAGCCACAGCAGAAGTTGATTCCGATAAAGACGATGTCGATGTCGATATCGATGACGATATGGACTTTGATGAACACGCAATAGTTCGTATTGCAAGCGAAACTGCATCACCGTCAACAGCACTACCATCATCGAATGATGATCGATTTGTTGTCCATGATCTATTTGATGATAAAGAAGAAAAACCGCCATTGCTTCGCAAAATGATTCGAATCGCCTGTTCAAGTCACAAGTTGAACAAAATCGGCAAGATTGATGCGCTTAACTAATGTGACCAGATCTCCTATATTCGGTAGGAGATTCCTATAAATCCGATCACTTTCCTATGTCCTATACATTGTATTTTTCTACAAATTACTCATATTCTCCTATATTTTTTTCCAATTTCAAATGGAAGAAAAAAAATGCAATAATAATCAAAAAAATAAACGAAAAATTGTATCTTTTAAGTCAGAAATAATGTATTCAAAATGTCAGCGCATAAAATATCATTCAATTCAGACTGAAGCAATAAATACTCTTAGATAGTTAATGCAAAATCCGATGACAACTTGATGTATCAAATTTGAAAACGAATGCATTTGTATCATATAAATAATTAACACATTTGCTTCACACTTTCCAAAACACAAGTAACCACGAACAAATTACAGTTTATATGCAAATTCACTGAAAAATTACAGTTTATGCTCGTCAATCTGAAGTGTCTATATATATTTAGTAATATTGATTTGCTGTTTACGATGTATATTTTTGAATATACACAGATATTTCAGTTTGACGTTCATACTCACAAAAAACTCAGAGTTAAAACTTTGACCACGAGAGGTCAAGATAAGCGGTCCAATCCTCGAAAAGGACAAAAATTACATATTTTGTCTTTATGGTGGTTAAAACGCCACTCAGTGGCAGAAACGTCAAAACAAACTATAGCTGTCAAAGTCATTTACGCATTCGAATGCCGCAACAGTTTTATTCCACCAGTGAAAGCAAATATCTTTAATATTAAACCGATTTGTGATACCGAAAATTGGCACGAAAATGTCGTTTATTCGTGTTCATTGTGAAGATAAACGGCATTTCATAAAAATTGAAGATGTTGAAAATGTGAATTTTGGCAGTTTAGTCCACTTTTATAGGTGGAATTGAATGCTTTAAGATGATTTAAGGTCGAAGTAAATGTAACATTCAATGTCTCCTCAGGACTTGTGCGATTTTCGTGAATACTTTGATGACACAACTCTTTCATTTGTTTTAATAAATTCTCTCCAATTTGGAATATTTGATTTGTTACTTTTTGATTACCACCAAGTTCGACCACTGATTTCATAAATTCATTCACCAACGTCGGTGAATCAATTATTTTTGTGCGGTGCTTCCCATCTGAAATAATATCACTCGATTCAAAACATACGGTCCCCTTTGTACATTTTCAGCGCTTGAGCTCTCAAAACTGCTTGCGTTAAATACGAATTCCTCGTCGCTTTAAAGCGATTATTGTATTGCCGTATTGTGTTGCAATTGCAATGATAACTTTTCCGAGATAGAATCATCACAATTAGAAGCCAAAAATATGTTATCTGTGATTTTGCTATTACAAACATTTTCAATATCATCTGATTGAAAACTTTGTGAATGTAAATTTAACTTTTCAAGTTCTTTAGCAATGGCTTTTTGCGGTATTTCTGGATCGACGTCCCCTGTTGTAGTTTTGACGCATTTGTCAATGTGTTTTTTCAACCCGTTGAACGTAGTAAATTGTTTTTCACACTTTGAGCTCTCGACTGGACACTTGATTGAATGCACTCTTTCTTTAATTGAATGTTGTTTTTTCAAATGTTTAATAATCTCGTTTTTATTCTCGAAACAAATAGGACACATATAACATTTTAGCTTCATTTTGACTACAGTTGTGTTGATATAAACAGAGATAATTGACAGTAAACCTATTTTAACCACGGCAAAGCCAAAACAGGTATTTTTTGTCTGTTCCAAGGATTGGACCGCTTATCTTGACCTCTCGTGGCCAAAATTTTAACTTTGAGTTTTTTGTGAGTACCAGTGAATTCCTAAGTTAACATTCGATGCGTATGGGCATGAAAGATGAAAAAATTATATTTTCCCTAGCAAATTAAAACCAAATATATTTAATTATATCCTTTCTGATATATTAAAAAACAACAGCAAACATTATGTGTTATTAGCAGAGAAGATAAAAGTAGGCTCGCAAAATCGAAGAGTACCTTGGAGAGCTATAATTTCTCAACCAAATGTCCTAGATAGATCTCATAGCACGTATTTTTTAGCTGAGGAGGTCAGCTTTGAAACCACATATAGTTAAACTTGAATTATAGCTATTTTCGAGTCGAAATTTGGACCAGAGACCTCAAAAAAAATTAGTGGTCTTGCAGGGCAAACATCCGTATTGGTCTTGCAAACTTACTATTCGAAAAAGGAATTCAAGTTAAGCTATATGTGCAGGCCCGTAGCCAGGATTGATTGTATGGGGTGGCATGACCAATTTTTGGGGTGGCGCGTAATTTTCAATTTTACAAAAGAAATTTTTGATATTCGATGACCAAATCAATCAGTGGCATTGCTCTGACGTAGCTCATTTCTCGCGACTGATGCAATTTATTGGCTGGCTCCAATAAATCTAAAACTCTTTTAAAGAATAAGGGCATGAGAATGAATTTTGGCTTTTGAATGGCTTGCAATATATGTAAACAATAAATGTCGCAGACGATAAATATTCGTTATAAACAAAAGCATATCGAGAATAATTTTATAGGTCTCAATATCAAGTCATTATAGAAGATGGGATAAAACAAAATTCAGAAGTCGTTCGGCAATTCGTTTGGAAGAGTATCGTTCGGCTGTTTTTTTTGTGTTGACTAATATTATTGAAGAACGTAATGCAACTCATTCTAATTTCAATTCCATGAATTATATTTGCTTCACGATTATTCATATTCAAGCATTTCACCTAGGGGCTAACCACGGTTTTAAAAATAACCAATAATTACCGACTTTAACATTTTTTATCATTCAAACAAATAAATTCCGATATGGTCATATTTTGGTCGATTTTCCCCGATTTTTGCAGTAACACCGTGTAACAAATTTCAACTTTTCTGCACGTGAGAAATTCCGATTGCTTGGTTTAGAGGACCAAAAACCAAGCACTTTTGCATCATTAGTTTGTTCGAAACCACGTCTAGAGTTTTTTTTATCGACACATATAAGACAAATTTCAGGCCAAAATGAGCAAATCACAAACATGAGCTTCGGTTTGACAGGTGACCTGATTTCAATACAGACACACAAACGCGCACGAGCTCGACAAAATGAAGCATTGTGCACAAATACAGAGGAAAACCCATTCACCGGCGTTCACTAATCCCTCATACCGCTTCAGATATGTTTCACAGTTCAAACGGTGCTGCACAATAAAACAACGAACACAAAATAAGTAGCTACCCAGTCTACCCAGACAAAAACTCTCAAAATTGACTTTTCGAGGTACCTCCCAAACAAAAGTTACGTTTTTCATGCATTTTGATATGAATATATCATTTTTTGTTCGGGAGGTATCCCAAAAATCATTTATAAGAGATTCTGTGTGAGAAGATTCCCAATATTTCTCGAAAAAATTATTTTTTTACTAAAAAAACTCATCCAAATAGTGTATTTTTGGGGTACCTCCCGAACAAAAAATGTTATTTTCATAGCAAAATGCATGAAAAACGTAACTTTTGTTCGGAAGGTACCTCGAAAAGTCAATTTTGAGAGTTTTTTCTGGGTAGACTCCCCATATTTTCGAGAAAAAAATTACTTTGCGCCAAGATACCATCGCTGAAAAGCCTATATTTAAGGATTTTTGGCCAAAAGTCAATTCTTTTAGAGTTGAAATCGAACCAACCAAATATGCGGCCAGAAATACAGTATCGGACAAAATTGAGAGCACCCTTGGCAAAAAAATGTAC